ACTATTAGACAGTAGGTGTGGTTGGACCACTAGATACCATTAGACAGTAGGTCTGGTTGGACCACTAGATACTATTAGACAGTAGGTCTGGTTGGACCACTAGATACCATTAGACAGTAGGTCTGGTTGGACCACTAGATACTATTAGACAGTAGGTCTGGTTGGACCACTAGATACCATTAGACAGTAGGTCTGGTTGGACCACTAGATACTATTAGACAGTAGGTCTGGTTGGACCACTAGACAGTAGGTCTGGTTGGACCACTAGATACCATTAGACAGTAGGTCTGGTTGGACCACTAGATACCATTAGACAGTAGGTCTGGTTGGACCACTAGATACCATTAGACAGTAGGTCTGGTTGGACCACTAGACAGTAGGTCTGGTTGGACCACTAGATACTATTAGACAGTAGGTCTGGTTGGACCACTAGATACTATTAGACAGTAGGTCTGGTTGGACCACTAGACAGTAGGTCTGGTTGGACCACTAGATACTATTAGACAGTAGGTCTGGTTGGACCATTAGACAGTAGGTCTGGTTGGACCATTAGACAGTAGGTCTGGTTGGACCACTAGACAGTAGGTCTGGTTGGACCACTAGATACTATTAGACAGTAGGTCTGGTTGGACCACTAGATACCATTAGACAGTAGGTCTGGTTGGACCACTAGATACTATTAGACAGTAGGTCTGGTTGGACCACTAGATACCATTAGACAGTAGGTCTGGTTGGACCACTAGACAGTAGGTCTGGTTGGACCACTAGATACCATTAGACAGTAGGTCTGGTTGGACCACTAGATACTATTAGACAGTAGGTCTGGTTGGACCACTAGATACCATTAGACAGTAGGTCTGGTTGGACCACTAGACAGTAGGTCTGGTTGGACCACTAGATACCATTAGACAGTAGGTCTGGTTGGACCACTAGATACCATTAGACAGTAGGTCTGGTTGGACCACTAGATACCATTAGACAGTAGGTCTGGTTGGACCACTAGATACTATTAGACAGTAGGTCTGGTTGGACCACTAGATACTATTAGACAGTAGGTCTGGTTGGACCACTAGACAGTAGGTCTGGTTGGACCACTAGATACTATTAGACAGTAGGTCTGGTTGGACCACTAGACAGTAGGTCTGGTTGGACCACTAGATACCATTAGACAGTAGGTCTGGTTGGACCACTAGATACTATTAGACAGTAGGTCTGGTTGGACCACTAGATACTATTAGACAGTAGGTCTGGTTGGACCACTAGACAGTAGGTCTGGTTGGACCACTAGATACTATTAGACAGTAGGTCTGGTTGGACCACTAGATACTATTAGACAGTAGGTCTGGTTGGACCACTAGATACTATTAGACAGTAGGTCTGGTTGGACCACTAGACAGTAGGTCTGGTTGGACCACTAGATACTATTAGACAGTAGGTCTGGTTGGACCACTAGATACCATTAGACAGTAGGTCTGGTTGGACCACTAGATACTATTAGACAGTAGGTCTGGTTGGACCACTAGATACCATTAGACAGTAGGTCTGGTTGGACCACTAGATACCATTAGACAGTAGGTCTGGTTGGACCACTAGATACCATTAGACAGTAGGTCTGGTTGGACCACTAGATACCATTAGACAGTAGGTCTGGTTGGACCACTAGATACTATTAGACAGTAGGTCTGGTTGGACCACTAGATACTATTAGACAGTAGGTCTGGTTGGACCACTAGATACCACTAGACAGTAGGTCTGGTTGGACCACTAGACAGTAGGTCTGGTAGGTCCTTGATAGTTTCACCTTATAATATAGGATTGATTTTCATAAAGTGGTGTGTAGAGATTTGTTAAGGTCTGTTTGAATTGGTAGACTAAATGGTATTGTCCTGGATTTAATATAAAGTTTACTAGGCAATTGTTCGAGGTAGAAAAGCTTTGCTTCTCTGATCATGCAAGAGACGAAACATTTGCTCAAGTCTGCTTAAATGGGTAGACTGACAGAACATTTCTGTCTGTGTGTCCCTCCAGTGGGTATGTTGGGCGAGGCCATCCCAATACTGATGAAGAAGCTGGACAAGCTGCAGAACCACTCAGCTCAGATGCCCAACATCTCAGAGAACATCCTCAGGATCAGACAGCTCATCGCAGAGGCCCGCAAGGCCGCCAGCAAAGTACGGTGGCTCACACGGGACAAACATATCCCAGACCCTCAATATGAATACACGTGCTACCTATAAGTCGTTTCAGATAAAAGTGTTAAATGTAGTTATTGTATGAATAAAGTATGAATGTTGGTCAAAACTATGATATGAGAACATTTAACTACTATGACTACGTCAACATACATTGGTATCGATGACGAGCTCACCAGTTTATTTCCATCAACAAGGCCTTCCTGGAGGCCAACAAGTCTGGTAGGTCTTCAACCACTAGTCTGGTAGGACCACTAGATACTATTAGACAGTAGGTCTGGTTGGACCACTAGATACTATTAGACAGTAGGTCTGGTTGGACCACTAGATACTATTAGACAGTAGGTCTGGTTGGACCACTAGATACTATTAGACAGTAGGTCTGGTTGGACCACTAGATACTATTAGACAGTAGGTCTGGTTGGACCACTAGATACTATTAGACAGTAGGTCTGGTTGGACCACTAGATACCATTAGACAGTAGGTCTGGTTGGACCACTAGATACCACTAGACAGTAGGTCTGGTTGGACCACTAGATACTATTAGACAGTAGGTCTGGTTGGACCACTAGACAGTAGGT